CAGAAGACGGGCAGCTGGCTTCAGGATTTGCGGCTGTTGGGGGCGCTCCCAGTCAGCCAGGTGAGACCACTTTTTTCGTCCTCTGTTTTAACCTATGCTTGTGTACTTGTTAACCTGTCCTTTTGTAATTTTTAACCTATGCTTTGTACTGTTTAACCTATGCTTTGTACTGTTTAACCTATGCTTTGTACTGTTTAACCTGTGCTTTTGTACTTTTTAACCTATGCTTGTCATTGTTAACCTATGCTTTGTACTGTTTAACCTATGCTTGTCATTGTTAACCTGTGCTTTGTACCTTTTTTAAAACAGTGTTTGTGGGGGGTTCTTGCCTTGGGTCCTCTACTGGGGGTTCTCATGTTGGGGCCTGCCACAAACACCCGGGGTTCTGTTGTTGCTCAGGGTAACGGAAAGGGTTATTGCGGTATCGGTATCGGCGGGGGTCTGCGGGACGGGGTTGCCACAGAGAGTAAATGCTGAGGTTTTTACCGTGCCTGTTGTTTTCCATCCTTCCTCGGTTGTCATGCCAGCTGGCCCTGAGATTTCCGTCATCCAAGGTGAATCGTCCGCTACGCGACATTTGCTCCCCCTACGGGATGGGTCGCATTTTGCTTATAAAATCAGGCCTATGGGTTGGGTGTTTGGCCGTCACTTTCCCATAGCTACTGACGGAGTTAGTAGGTCCGGACATTTGGTAGGTTTGTCTCTGACACACAGGGATGTTCTGTTGTTTTTGGAATTTTTCTTAGAATCCTTCAATGGCCGCTCCTTATGGTGAAGACCCCCCTTTGGTAATGCAGTTTTGGAGCTTTGCACTGACGCGCCCGGTTCCTCGGGTTACGGTGCGTATTTTCCGGGTAGCTGGTGTGCGGAACCTTGGCCCGGGGTATGGCGATCGCCTCCCTATTGCAAAACCTGGTCCTGTTGATCTTGTTTTTTCGGTCGTGAGATTTACCTGTGAACACATGGGGTTGGTACAAGCTATCGACAGCATTACAGCCTCATCGCCTCCTGTTGTACGCCTGCTAGGCATTTGGTCTTGTGCTGTTTGCGACTTCATACCTTTCTTTGTGCCACTTCGTTGCCGGGTGTTTCTAATCCCTTAGCCGACTCGTTATGTCGTCTTCGGTGGGATAAGTAAGGCGTTTCGGCCACCGTGGGGTTCCTTGTCCCTGTTTATCGGTGGAGGTTGCCTTTGGAGGCCTATAGGGATTGCTTCTAAGTCGGCAAGCTGCTAGACAAGGGCGTCGTATGCAAAGGTGTGGCGGGAGTGTTTTCGGTTCATTCAGGTAGTCGTTCAGGTCCCTGTGTGCGTAATGAGTATGGCACTTTTGCGGTACTTTCTTAGTCCACTTATTTCACAAGGTGTCAGTGTTTTCCATCAATACAACCCTGTCAGCCCTGGTGTTCCTTTTTAAATTGTTGGGTTGGGCGGGATTTTTGACGGAAGCGGTGCGGTTCGACAAGCGGTCATGGGCTTGCTGAAGGGCCGACGACGTTTGGACGGGCGCCGCCCGGTTACATTTCCTATTTTGAGTGCTGTTCTTCCACTTTTGAGGCTTCTCTCTACAGGGTGGCTTTTCTTTTCCCAATTTTGGGGCTTTTCGTGTCGGGGTGTTGTGAAGTCAATCATAACCCCGTGCAAGGTGGTGATTTGACATCAGGACGTGTTGCTACTGCCCGAATCTTTTACGATTCTCCTCCTATACTAGGAATGATCATTCCGGATAAGGTTCGTGGGTAGTCCTTCTCTTAGTTTCGGGGTCGGCTTCTATCCTTCCAGGCGGTTCACCCTTCCCGCTGTAACAAGGACACTCCACTGTAGTCCAGGTAAATCAAGTAGAATGCAGTTTATTAAAAGGGCAAATACAAAATAGCTTGAAACAGCAACATAAGACAGTCCTTGTTATGGCTCTGTAGCTTTCCTCAGCTTCAAGACACTCACGCTGCTCACCCCTCGTGAGCCCTCACTCTCTTAGCAGTCTGTACCTCAGGTCCTAGGGTCACCGACCTTCCTGACCTCTCCCAACCACCCCTGGCTGTTCCGTGTGCGTCTAGCATGCACCCGAGGATTTATTAAAAGGGCAAATACAAAATAGCTTGAAACAGCAACATAAGACAGTCCTTGTTATGGCTCTGTAGCTTTCCTCAGCTTCAAGACACTCACGCTGCTCACCCCTCGTGAGCCCTCACTCTGCTCTCTTAGCAGTCTGTACCTCAGGTCCTAGGGTCACCGACCTTCCTGACCTCTCCCAACCACCCCTGGCTGTTCCGTGTGCGTCTAGCATGCACCCGAGGTGGTCTGTGTCCGTGTGCTCCCTGCACACACACAACTCCAACACTGACTCCAGGGTGGAGCTCTCCTGACTCACAGGTGGGGCTTCCTGATAAGGCTGCTCTCAGCCACCTGATTAGCCCAGGCTGGTCAATGGCAACACCTGGCCCCAGGACTGGAGATCTCATCCCACCCAGAGCTCTACGAAATCTCCAGAGCTCCAGATCCCAGCTGAAAATAGGAAAACCTGGAATAACCTGAAAAGCCAGGTTCTTCCTTATAACCTGCTTTACTTTCTGGACCCTCTCAGCCCCTTTGGCTGAGAGTCCTGGGTGCCAAGGTCGCCATCCTCCACCGTGGCATTGGCTTACACTGCCACACCGCACAGGATCTTTCTGGGTTTATTCAGTTTGGTACTCGCCTTTTTACGCTTTCTATCCAGTTCCAGTTTTAGTACTTGTTTGAATAGGGCCCGATGGAGGCTGCCAGTTTGGGTTTCGGGGAGGCTGAAGGGATGCGCATTGGGAGATGGGGGTCCAAGTGGCAGCGTTTGTGTCTATTGGTCGTTTTTTGTAGCGTTGTTTTTTTTTCTGGCATTTTGTTTACATTTGGTTGTGCTGTGTGCTGTTTCGGGACTGTTTTCGCCTTGTCCGTTATTCCTTTGTTTGATTATTTAGGTACCGGCCCGGGTCTAATCTAGGTTCGGGGCCTTTATTACGTTCGGGGGCCCAACATGCCGGATCCGACCGGACGGCAGACAGTTGTGTGTCCATAGCGGTACAGCTAATGTCCGCTGCATAGGTTTGCCTTCGGGGGTTAGGAAATCGGGTGGTCCCGGGTGTCCGCCGTCATGCTCGGCTGGATGGGGGCTCCTTGATATACTGAGCCTGCAAGTTGGGGGCAAGGCGTTGGTCGCTGCTCCATGTGCGGGATTCTTGGGGCCATTTAATTAGATTTTGTAAGGTTGCGTACTTCATTCCCCGACACCATGGTCATTGGGTCGGAGCTCGGGCTCGCACCTCCTGGCGTTTAGCTCGGTCCGTTGATTGTTTCCACAATTGCTGCATGGTGGGAGGGTGCATCTAATGCCGTAGGGGCGGACTTGTGGTTCTTGGGTTTGCAAGGGGCATTCAGACAGCATTGGGTGTGTGGAGGGGCGTCCAAGGGTGAGGTCTCCCCCTTGTTGCTGTGGCGGGTTCAGCAGAGAGAGGTCGAAGCACTATGTGTAGGTAGGTCTCTGCTGTTACTTCCTAGGTTGTCCCTGAGTCGGTGTGTTGCGGCTAGGGGCCAGTGGTTTTCAGGGGTAAGCAGAGATCTACTGTAGCTGAGTAAGGGGTGCCTTCACAGACCTCAGGCCAAATTACGTATAGGGATACAGTTGTGGTATATTGTCATATGTCATGTTTTAAGTGACAATAATACATTATGAGATTTTGTAATAAACGGCTGATACAGCCATTTTATATCCAATCCTGTTTGGTCTTTTATTTGGGGAAATGGAAGTTGAGAAGGGGTCAGATGCTGTAATCAGCTGTTTCATGGTTGGGAAAAAAGATGACTATGCCTTACCCTGTCATGCTCTGCACCTGCTCTGCACTTGGTGTGAACAAAGCCTAAAGGTCAGCACATGAGTGGTTGTCATGGGAAACTGCAGGCAGTTCACAAGTATGATAGGTCAATGGGCCTTACTGATAACACAGCAAATAGTTAGATTCCCCTTTAGGCTCCCATTTTGCATAATAAACTGAATTTTTTTGTGGTCAGCAAAAATGGTCCTTCTTTCATATACTTTAATACATGAAGCTAGGGGCATTTCTAGACCCAGGCTTCCAGAGCACGTGCCCCAGGTAAGTAACGTAAAAAGTATATCAAAGTATATTAAATATAATTTGCTAATTTTTGGTTATGAGATTTTTTTGGATCTTGTATATCGATTCCCACATCTCAGCCAGTAGCTGCATTTTCCCTCACTCCTCACTAAACTGTTTTAGGTAGACAGTTTGTGAATCTAAAAATCTGGCATTTTAATGAATTACTGGATTGCTACACTTACTGTACCTGTACATTGCAATGCATATTTCTTTTTGACTTGATTATTGCCAACTGATGAACAATGACACTTTACTTTTCTAAGCAATTGTTTTTGACTTCAGTAAAGTGGTCATGTTTACGAAATTACAGATCTGACACAAAGAGGATTCTTTTAAATGCCTTTTTTTTAATTACTAGCTTATTCTTATATTGCTAAATTAAAGAAAAACGGTATACAGTGTGGCGGAAGCAGTGGCATTGCAGGGTTATTTTTGGTGTCCTTCTGGGTGCCATATTTTTCTGGCCTGGGGCTGCTGTCTAGGTGCCCAGGGGTGCCCCAGATATTTTAAGGCCCTAGGATTGCCCCAGCATGAAGCTCTTAGGGGCTTGTTCAGTAAGGCACTGTAAAGTGCAATGACTATGTGGAAAGCACTTTTCCGTATATCTAATAATCAGGATGAAAATCTTTACTGAACTGACTACATTGAATTGATATATGATTGGATTTTATAGCTACTGCACAGTATCACTTCAATTTACTGAGGTGCACACAGTCAGCATTAAATATTTTCCTGACATGTCTACATTGTAGTGAAATATGGCTGAAAAATGTAATTGTACTTTGCACTGCATTATTGATCAAACCCAAAAGTGTCTAGTAACCAGTCCACTTGTTGCACTCTTTTTACAAACCCAGCTGCTGTATAGTTATAAAAATGTAAACCTTAAAATGATTGATGTTTAAGTTTAATAATGGTGGGAATAAAGTTAAAGTGGAACTCCAGGAATGATCTTTTATGGAAACTTACATTGGTCCAGCTTGGATCAATGTAAGTATGTAATAAAAAAATTAAAAACATGTAGTGAAAAATGTTATGTATGTTTTGGTTTGTTTCCTCTTGTGCTGTTTTAACAGTTGAATAAATATGCTTTTAATACTGTACTTACCTGAGGGCCGCCTAAAGAAGAAGCAGGATCTCAACATTTCTGTGAAATGTGTGGAGTCACTTGTCTATATAGTACTGGGATTACCAATGTGTTTGATCTTTAGTGTATACCAACTTTAAGATACGATATGGTTTGATGTATTGATATATGGTGAATTAAACACTTTATGGAATAATATTGGCCCAGTTTTTACTATGAGACAAGCTCTAAGGATTTGATTACTTATGTTTGGATATGACGATTTGTATAATATGAATGAATTGCTCTTAATAATAAAAACATTATTTTATGTAAATGTAACCTCATTGTGATGGCACCATTAAATTCCGTCATGATTGGTCTTTTTTAAGCAAATTAGATTCAATGTGAGTATCCCTATGTGATCTCCGGAGGGCAGATGAGGATGCTGTAAACTAGTGTAGTAGTCCATGCTACATACAGTAATAGCTGTGATCTTTTGACTGCGGCATCAGCTGCTTTCCCTTTCCACACTGAACACAAGGAGTTGCTAGCTTGGCACCACCGCCATTCAGAGAATGCCTTGTATTCACTAGAAAAATATAAAGCTTTCTTTGAATGGCAAAAGAATAAATTCACTCTCAGCACTGCCATATTGAATAATGTCATGTGTTCAAGCACAGAAAGTGGATAGGTTTGCTGTTATTGAACTGATAAGCTATTGTCTATGAAGTTGCTTTGATTTATATAAAATGTATCAGAACTGCCGGGTTTTTCAAGATTGACTACACAGCAATAACAGCATGAAAAGTAAGGACAATCTCTCCACTGGCTCTACTAGCATTGTCATTCTAGCTTACGTAACAAATTCAATGGAAAGATAGAATGCAATGCTTATTTTTAAAGCACCAAATACATACTGTATGTACCTACAGTGTACATGTGAATAAGATTTCTTCAATGCCTCCCATAATATGTATGGACATTGTGATAGTTTTTGTGCCAGACAGGATACCATCATGAACTATGGTCAGTGCCAGAATAAAACTCCCATCAAATACAAAAATGGTAAATGATTACACAAACACAAATATTATATCAATAAATAACCATAGTTATTGTTTTCATAGAACAGAAAATTAAATTCTAGAGACGCCCGCTCAGATCGAGAGAGCTCCTGGCCGGCCGTTTTTTTGCTACGGCCGGCCCGGAGGTAGTTAAATAAAAAATAGTTTTATTAATAATTTGTAAACTGCATGTATTTGATGCAATAAAGGCAATACAAAAATGAATATACAATTTACAGGTATTCATGCATATACAAGTCAGGCGATCATAAAATTATTTCATTTGTGTACCTTGCCTGTTCCAGGACAAATCTACTCATATAACATAAATAGTATAATCAGGGATGTTTTTATATCCAGCCAAAACTTGGATGAGCTCAGGTTCGGATAGAACACAGTCCGAACCTGAGTGCCATGGGGCCACCTGCCCAATCATGTGCCTTTGAAATCAGACGTGTCTCAGAAAAAGGAAAATACCTGTTTCTGTGTAATGTCACAATCTGTTTGACATATAATTGGAAAGATTGCATACCTTTTGGGTGCATATAATAAATGTACTAGTCTGCCAAGCTTTAGGTGGCACAGGACTCCTTACAAGCCATGGTCACTGCGACATAATGGAGTTTGTCGCAACAATTCTGACAATTTTTTACATAACATCCCTGTGCAATTTCTTACTATGCACCACCATTAGTTTATTGGGCCCAATGACATTTTCATCTGACTTTCCCTAACTACATACTTGTTCCGGATCAGTGACTCAGTGTGGATTGAAGCTAAAGCATCAGAAGATATTATTTTCAGTAGGGGGCTAGCAATGGCAGCCCCATAATTTCTCATGAAAGCTTCACTTTATTTATTTGTAATATTATATGGACAATTCCATTTTTAATTACTGAAAGGTATAAGAGGTTTTGACAAAGAAGGAGTTAATGTATCATATACAGGTGTTGCCCGTTCTGGCAATTCTCTGTTCTAAATTTATCAACTGCAAACCTGTGAACCAACAAAGACCTGTCATGCTTGGCACAAACAGAAGCAAGAATGGGAACTGAAACCCATTACTCTAACTTGAAAGACGGAATCTAGAGTGAAAGATGCACCTGTCGTAGGGTATATTCAAATGATTACCAGAATAGATGTCTCAAGGGACTTGGTAGCATTAGTAAGTAAATCAGGTATCAATTGTGTATGACTAGATTGATAGAAATCAGATTACATATTGAACCAATTTATAAAATAAAACTACATA